AATTTATTTTGTATTTAACATCACTTTAATTTCTAGTTCATGATTACAGAATAAAGTTAGCATTTTACAAGTACTTGTATGTTATAATTTCATAAATAGTCTTGTTTTTATATATTTGTATGGCTAATGAATTCATAAAGAGCATTAAAATATAACCAAAATTAAGTGTTCCTTTACTGGGCAATTTTGTGTTCCTTCACTGGTAAGAGCTGTTCCTTCACTGGGTCTTCCTACTACTTGTTATTTGAACCTCCAAAACTTTAAAACAATTTTATGTAAGTTCTCTACAATTTTTTTACATAATTTGCAATTAGTAACAAATATGTTGACACTGTCATTTAACTAAAATTACGAATTTTGAAATTAATATGATTTTTTAAGAGGCAAGCGAAGCTTAAGTGTTCCTTCACTGGTTAGTTTACCCTATGTTTATTCAAAAAAATTATGTTTTCCTGCCGAATTTTGAATATTTACGCCTGCCCTGATTGACTAGCATATTTAAGGTTAGATTGAATCTGAATACGTGAAAATCTGATTATTAGGTCAAAAGTTAATGAGGGTGATTTCTTTTTGAAGTGCACTGTACGGATGTATCATAGTTCACTGAAATAGATATTTTTTAACTTATTATTTATGTAATAATGAACAAGTTCAATATAGTGTTCTATGAGTTCCAAAATAGTCTGAAAATTAAAAAAATATATGTAATAACTTTTTTTTATGATTGTTTAAAAACAACCACACATTATTTAAAAACTTACTATTTTTTTAGAACCAGATGCATTTTATATTAGCAATATAAAAACTTTAATAGCAATGAAAAACAATATGTGTTGTTTGCAAATTCTATAATTTAGTGAGTAAAATTTCATGAATTACTTCAAAAGTAAATAAAAAATCAAACCTATTTGCCACTCCGTCTCTTGATTTAAACTCTAAAAATGACTTCAACTGTTCATCTTGCTCCACTAAAATTTTTAATTCCTTAATCTTTTCACCCAAACGTTTTTGATCCACTTGAGTTCTTTCATTCACAAGATTCAGCTTGTATTTCACAGATTCTCTAAAAATTATTATCTGTGATTATGTCCTTATTAATTATACAAAAAATATAGCATTTGAAAAATATGCTCAAATTATATTTAATTCATAAATAAATCATTTAATAATTAGGTTTCATTTCATTTATTTCCGAATTATATTGAAAAAAAAATTATTAGAATACATTATTTTAAGAGTGTGAAAACAATTTTTTAATACAATGGAAGCTTTTGTAAGAGGAAATCTAACTTATTGGAACTTTTTTGTAGGAGGAAATTCCCTAATTGTGCATCATATCAAAGTATACATACCATCAAACATTTGTTGGTATGTATACTTTGTATAACAAAATTATTGCATTAAATTTGATTTGAGCAAGAACTAGTCTCATCTTCTCTAATACATGAGATTTAACTAAAACTAACTTCATTGGAAAAAAAGAGAGTTGGAAAAAGTAAAACATTTGCAGTTATGAAAACAGAAATAACAGTAATATAACAGTGCTTGCAATAATGAATTTAATACATAACCAAATATACTCAGAAACTATCAGAAATCAAAATCTCTTTACTAACTAAATTTAAAAAATGTTTTAAGTTGCAAAAAAAAAAAAAAAAAATTCATGGTAAAATAATTATGAAAATAAAACATAATTCAATTGAAACAATTTAATATATAATTATGATACAATTTAAAAAAAGAAATTTTCTTTATCTGCTTTGAAATACAAATATAAAACAATTTGCATAAATTTAATTAGAATAAGAGTTCTAACAAGAAAGCAAGTAATAGAATACGAAAATATGCGAGAAAGATGAATGTAAAAATATTATTAGTAAATTAATTAAAATGCAAGCAAAAGTGATGCTATTTCAAACACTTAAATACATAAAAAGTTTTATTTCTCTGATTCTGCATCCACCTGCAGCATTTCTACCATCAGTCACAAACAGCCAAATAAATGAAGTAAGCAAATTAAATGGAAAGTGAGAGTAATAAGCAGCCTTCATAGAGTTCTCTGCAATAAACTTTAAAATAATAAAACAAATATTGATATAGTCACCCACAACAACTTTGTGACACAGAGGGCAACCAGGAATTTTGTAATAATCACAACTGTAACTACGCTTATTATTTCTTTTAATGAGCTGGATCTTTAACTGCTTATCAACAACTATATTAACCTGTGAGAATATTCTACTATCTTCCATTTTATTGTAAACAATATTTTTCTAACATCACACAAAAGAAAAACTTATTGGACCATAACAGATCCCATTCTGACAAATCCACCCTGTTTGCCGATTTCCATATAGGTTACAATGGGTGAAAACCCAGTGTTGAGTTATGCAAACATAAAAAAAATGTTCCAATACAATTGAAAAGATTTTCAAGTCCTTCTAAATTAAAAAGAAATCAAAAGAATAATATTCTTATTTGAGGAAAGTTATTTTAATGATATTTATGACTAAATATGATGGAAAGAAAATCAAAATTTGCATTAGTTTATGTGTCTAAAGCTTGTTAAAAAATAAACAAGAATAAAATTTTTCGGAAGGTTACACAATTGGCTAAAAAAACTGCTAAGCTTATCATTAAGTGCAACCAAAATCTAGGTATTGATAGATATCAATTGCAATATTTCATTAAAAAAAGAAATGACTTTCGAACATTATTAAATTTTAATATGTCATATTATCTGTAGGCTGGTTTGAGTATAATCTATATCTATGTAATCTATCATATATCATCTATAAACAGAATGAATAGCCATGCATATGAAGTTAATATATATTTATTTGTAAATATAATTAATAGAAATGCATATAAAGTTAATTAGTATCAACTGTTTAATTAAACATTTTGGAGCTTTATAATAAGCTAATATATTTTTATAAGAGATTGATGTTATTATTTGTTCACTTAAGTTATTTTAGATACACTTGGCACAATTAAGAAAAATAAATTTGCATTTATATCACGAACTTTATAGCACTATGACTTTTAAATACATCTTTCACACAAAATTAAAGCAACCAAATTTTAATAGAGTAAGAAAAAAGTACTTTTTACAAACACATATGCCTAACTTTAGATATCTTAAGTTTTTTTGTATTTTCAAAGTGTTTTTTCTTTTTTTTAAAATTCAAATTAGGTACAAATTTATATTTTTATTTGTTAGTTCTTAAAGGAATTTACTTGCTTATATACATATGATTTTTATAAGCAATTTTGAGACTCTTTTAAAATTTGGGTAACTTTTTAATACATAAAAAAAATCAGGTTAATACAGCGATAATGGCAAAATCTAATAGAGTTGGTAGCTATGGTAGACTATTCGTTGTTTCAAAACTATCATATGAACTTTAAAGAGATTAAAATTTGAAGAAGTCGGCCAGTCAACTTTTAAACAGAAAAAACAATATGAAAGAGAAAACAAAATGTAAGCAAGGAAGTAAATAATAATGAGTAATGACAAAACTATATTATCGATAAAAGAATTTTTTTAACTTAAATCATTTCTACAAAGTATTTTTAACAAAGGAATCTGTTCCAGAAATAAAATAAGGTAGTTTACCCTGTCTGATATGACATAGTAGCAGAGTGAACAACCTCCAATAAAGTTTTTCTACCCAAGGCTAATAATCGTTTGATGTTGCTGTACTTTCTACGAAATGAGCTTTGAGTGAGAAGCAAAGAGTTGATATCCTCCCTCAGATTATTATTAGATATGAGAAGTTGATTGTATTTATGCAAGCTCTGTAAATAAATAAATAAAATCAACAAATAAATCAATCAATTAATATCAAACAACAAATAGATCAATAATATCTATCTAGTAACAACTTAGAATACCTAAAGGCAACAAAGCAGTCATATATAATGTACAGTAGAGAACCATTTATCCGGTATCCAGATAATCGGGAAAAATTTTGATCGGTTTTCCCGCCATTTTAAACTAGAAAGATTATGAAAAAAAGCGGAAATTGAACTCATCCTTGAAGTTGAGTAGAGGAAAATGTAAGGAAGGGGAGAATTTTTTCCCCGTTTACCCAGAGAAACGTCATTTCCTCCGTGACCCTGAAGGCAGGGAAGGGAGGAATGTTTCATTTTCTCCTTTAGGCCGTCAATCAAGCTCAAGGGTGTGGCATGCTGATTTCGCTTTCTGTTTGATTTACGAGGGGGGTGGGGAAAATGCATTGCATGCATATCAGTGAACAGAAGATGAAGGAAAAAAATATATTTATCTATTTGACATCGATTAATAAAATCATTTTCTTCTGAATAAGTGCGGTTCTCATTAGCAAGTTTTTATTGATGTGGAATCACATGTGCTGTAATTAAATATCGTGTTTTTATCAAGAAAAAAAAAATAAAAGAATTGTTTATTAATTTAAACATAGGATTATTTTATGAAGCAGATTGCAGTTTTGTTTTTCTGATTCCACTACGTTTGTTTTTCTTTTCTTTTCACGATAAATTTCAAAACTCAATTAATTCTTTTTATTCATAAATTTTATCATTAGGTTTTTTTTAAAATTCCGTTGATCTTGCCATGTTCCGGGTTTTAATATTTATGCTAGTGCCTTTTTTAACTATCGTTTCGGCTCGATAATTTTCAAGTGCTTTTATTTAGATTAATAAGTTTTCCTTTTAATTTATCGTTTCCCTGTATAATTAGGTATGAAATATATTGCGTTATTTAACCATTGGTTTTGTTTATATTAGTTTATTTAGGAATTGTAATTATTTTTAAAAAATGAATACGAGAATTTTATATTTTTAAAACTTGTTTTTCTTGTCTAAACTTGCAAATTTTTTTATTCTTTTAAATGTTATTTTTATACCATTTTTCTTTTCTTTTTAAAGTTAGGAGTACCTTTCTTTTTTCTCTTACTTTATACTTTTTCCTTGTAATTGGGGTGTGATAAAACATCGATTAACAACAATTTTTGGCAGATCCAGAAAACCGGGAAATTCAGACATCCGGGATAGCGATGGTCCCGAGCATCCCGGATAATTGGTTCTCTACTGTATTTAATGACAAATTTTAAAACATCTATAATTAAGACGACAAAATTAAAACCATTCATTAAAATACATACTGTGTCTAGTAAATAAAATTACAGGCTGTCAATGTCCTTATTTCAACGGTGTGGAAGAGAAGTAAAATAGTAATAAAAAAATTAAGTAGATATAAAATTTATATTTAAATATATATATATATATATATATGAACTTTGCTTCGCAACAAATATCCAAACGATAAGCATACAGCTATAGTAGAATTTCAAAGCAAAATAGCTATTTTAAAAGTCTTTCAATTTTCAATGATTTATTTATAAGAGAAATTGTGAACATTTTTCTCAATTAATCAGCGTGCATACTGCTACGTTAAAACATATACATTTAAGCAAAATAAAAAGAATAGTTCTATTTGAC